GCTGGTACTGGTGGCGCGCGTATCTGAGGTTGCCGACGACTCGTTTCGCCTGCCAGCGCCGATAATACTTCTGGATGACAATCACCGCCGCAACAACGCGCGCGTGCTTGTCTGCCGCGGTCTCGTATTTGGTCGGCACAATGATCTTGTCCTCACGCGATGTCACAAACACACCCTCCTTCGTCTTTTGATGTGTGTGTGAGTGCATGTGTGTGTGTGTGTGTGAGTGAGTGAGTGTGTGGGTGAGTGAGTGTGTGTGTGTGTGTGAGTGAGTGAGTGAGTGAGTGAGTGAGTGAGTGAGGGAGTGAGGGAGGGAGGGAGGGAGGGAGGGAGTGTGTGAGTGTTTGTGTGAGTGTGAGTGAGTGTGTGAGTGTGTGTGAGTGAGTGAGTGAGTGAGTGTCACAGTGAGTGTGAACATATGAAATGAGCCTCGGTGTCGATGGCAACAATCTATGAGTGAGTGCACGTCCATCAGCAAGGTGGAAGGTGGTACTGACCATCTGCGTCGCTGTGTGCACGCTCGTCTGCGTCGCAAACTTTGGATGTGTGCGCTGAATCGCCGTCTGTGTTGTCCGCGTAAACCGTTCAGTCTGCATTCACACACACACACACAAGTGTAGGCACGTGCACACACACATAAGTCCATTCGTACGTCCACAAGCAGAAGCGTGACCATCGGCATGGATACGTTGATGAGAAGAGGCAGCAACGAACTCCAAAACACCAACAGGGGATGCTTGCATTAATCATACACATATGTGCATGCCCGAACATACACACAGACACACACACACAGACACACAGACACACACACACACACACACAGACACACACATGCGTGCACCGACCTTTGGGATGCGGAACTTGCGCGGGGTCTGTGAGGAAGCGTTGTGATACTCCACACCGGTCTTCTTGTGGCGAAACCCGCCGAGAAACGGCTTCGTGACGTTTGCAGTGAAGACTGTGATGTTGAACAGGCGGTCGCTGCCATCGTCTGATCATCGTCATGGCAATGGAGATGTGGTGGTGGTGGTGGTGGTGGTGGTGAGGGGATGATGTGCACGCAGCACTCAAGGTGAGGGCAACGTGGACAGACCCCATGCGATTGCCGCCAAGACATACGCACATCCGCGCATGATCTTACCCAAAACACCTCAACAACGTCAAGCAAAAACAGCAGTAGCAGCGGCACACACACACACACGCACACAGACACACACACACGCACACACACGCACACGCACGCAACTCATAAACACACACACACACACAAATCATAAACGCACACACACACACACCTGCGGGCACTTTGACAATCTGCTGTCGTTGGGAGTATTGAATCTCTCCCGGTTCACCAATAACAGCAGCATCGCCATCATCACCCGCCTGTGTGTAGGCACTCTCTGTTGTGGTCTGCTCTGTTGCTGATACAGATGCACCATCAGAAGTCGTGTCATTGTGCCCCTCCTGTTGCTGATCCCGGGAAGCGCTGGCACGTTCCCCGTCTTGCTCTTCCTCTTCCGGCGCCTCTGAAATGGCCGAGAGGTTGTTGACGCTGCTCTCTGGTTCTGGTTCTGCTGCCTCTGTTGCTGACGATTGCGACTCGCCCTCCTCCGTGTCCTCTGTCCCCTTTGGGACTTCTTCCCCTTCCTCTGATCCACGCTGTGCAACAACACCCGCGTCATCGTCACCATCGTCACCATCGTCAGCGCCATCGCTACCTCTGCTTGGCGGTGCAGGCAGCTCTGCCTTTTCCGGTCCAAGGTCGCCGCCGTCTGCGTCCAGGTGCATGGAGGTTGGCCGGCGGGACGACGCTGATGCTGGCGCCGACGGCTTGGCAGACACCGTCACGCTATCACCGTCATCGCCGTCGTTGTTGTCGCCAGTGGCTTTGTGTTCACCACCTTCCGTCGCAACAGCTGCTGACGTGTCGCCTTCGCTTGCTGCTGATTCTTGTTCCTCTTCACTGCCTTTCGTCTCTTTCGCGTTGTCATCGCTTCCATGATCATCTCCCTCGCCGCTGTTTTCTTCTTCCTCCTCTCCTCGCTGCTGCTGCTGTCCTTCGTCAGCCTGTCCTTCTCCTTCTCCATTTTCTTCTGGAGCTTCCCCTTTCTGTGTTCCGGAGCCGTTGTTTTCTGCTGCTTCCTTCTTGGTATCCTCAACACCCTGCGTGTCGTCACTGTCTGCCGCGGGTGCTGTCGGAATATGCACGTTGTCTGCAGCCTGTTCCTTGGCCGTGCTTTCATCATCAGCCGCATCGGCAGCACCCTCTTCCATGGCCTTGTCATTGTCATCGCCAGCAGAATCGCTCTGCTGTTCGTGTTCCTGCTCTTGGTCTTGCTGCGCTGCGCCTTCTGGTCTGGCATCTTCAGGAGGCTCATCCTCTTCCTCCTTGCTGGCTGCCCCGTTTTGTTCCCCCTTCTCCTGCTCCTGCTCCTGCTGGTCGTTGTCACGGGCATTGTCGCCGCCATGTTCGTTGTCACTTTCAGCGATGGTTTCCTCTGCAGTAGCGTCTGCCTCTCCTTGACCATCCTGCGTGTCCTCTGCCTTGCTGTCGCTTGCCCCTTTTGCCTCCTCAGCAGACTCCGCTACCTCGGCGTCATCGCCATCCTGCTGCTGCTGCTGCTGCTGCTGCTGTGATGCATCTTGGTCAGCCGTGCTGGTTTCCGCAGGAGGCGCATCCTCTGCCACCTCCACCTCTTCTTCCTGTGCGTTGCTGCTCATCCTCACGCACACCCCAGCTGACGCTTGTGTATGTGCGTGTGTGCGCTGTTAGGTGTTGTTGGCTGGTGTCTCTCTTGTTGCTCGCTCGATCTTGGCGGAGCTGTTTGGTTTCCAAGCGCGCGGTGTTTCTACGGAAGATATGGCAAACCACCTGTAGAATAATACCCGAAATCTTCTCAGAAACAGCTGGCCAGCAGGTTTCCTGCACAACAACACCCAAGACGCGAGCGAGAGCAGTTTGTTGTTGCCAAGAACCACAGAACAACGTTCAACCAACAATACATCAAGTGCGTGCTTGCTTCGGCCTTCAGCCCCCCCCCCCCACAAACACACGGGTGCAGAGAGCCAGACACTTGGCCGGGTGCTCGCTCAGACGCAACCTATTCAACTGACAGCACAGGAAGCAGAGGAAGCAGTAACAAGAAGAACAACCCAGACAGCACCAGCAGCGGCCGGTGGCACACAAGATGCCAAAGGTGCGTGATGCTTGTGTGTGTGTCGTGGGTGGAACAGTGTGTGGTTGGCATGTGTATGTGTGCGTGTGTGCGTGTGTGCGTGTGTGCGTGTGTGCGTGTGTGCGTGTGTGCGTGCGCATGCATTTGTCGGCAGTGCTTCTGACAGGACGTGACGATCTACCCTGCTGGGCGTGTGTATTTGCATGCGTCGTTTGTGCGCTGCTGTTGTTTTCCGTTGCGCAGCCACCATCGAGGCGCGGCGGTGATCCTGCTGCTGCCATCAAGCCGCATCTGCCACCCATCCCAAGACCAGATGACCTGCACATGTCCACAGCAAGAAGGTGCCGTGAGCAAGGGGCGTGTTGCTTGTGTGTGTGTGTGTGTTCGAGGGAGGAAGAAGGGGGGAGATGCGGGTGGAGACACCTTGGACATGCGTTTGCGCGTGCAAGCGGGTGTTTGTGCGGTTATTCACGGAGTGCGTGGGATGAATGGCCTGCTGCGGGCTCGCTGGTGCACCTTTGATGACGGTGCCGATGCAACGCACCACAAAGCAAACCGCCACATGATTCAAAGTCTTCGATCGTTCCGAGAGCACTGACACAGCGCCAATGACCACATCTTGCTGGTGGTGGTGATGATGCAGGCGGCAGCTGGAGCAGCGCAAGGGTACCCGCGCAGATGAGCAGACCCTGAAGCAAACAACACAATGGAAGCAGAAGACAGCGCAGCGGCAAATGCTCCAACACCTGGTGTAAGTGTTCACACAAAGCAACGCTGCGATGTGTGTGTGTGTGTGTGTGTGTGTGTGTGTTGATTGTATATCCTGTGTTTCTGTGAAGGCCCGCTGGTTGGCACGGGTCAGGGATTACAGTGACAACGGCAAAACTGTCGCTGTGCAAGCATCGTTTATGCCCATGCGCCCCCTCATTCCGTTGGGCACGTGCTTTGCTGGGTGACGACAGCGCGGATCAGGTGGCCCTGGTTGACTACAGCACGGAGGAAACGCTGCGCCGCCGCCCAGCAGGCAGCGCTCCCCCGGAGCTGCCAAAGACAATGATGTCCGAAGCCCGCAAAGCAAAGGTGCGTTGTGGAACAGCAACCTCGCATGCAACTCGCAGCACATGATGTGTGGATGTGCGACGTGTGGATGTGCAATTGTCGGCGCCACACACCACCGTTCATTGTCAATGCACTGTTGTTTCTCTTCACACAACACACGCACACACACACACACACACACGCACACACACGCACGCACGCACGTGCGCTTCTGTGCAGCTGAGCTACCAGCGGCGGCGTGAGATGGCCATGCAGGGCAAAGTGCCTGGCATGGGCGATGACACGTGGCAGTCAATCGTTGGTCGCGTTCCCGAGAAACTGCGCAACCACCACACCATCCCTCGCCAGCAGCGGAACAAACACGAGAAGGCGTACGTCCCACGTATACTTGCGTATGTGCCTGTGGGAGGGGTGTATGTGGGTGCTTTGTGCGTGTATGTGTGTTTTATGGTTTGTGTATGTGTGTGTGTGTGTGCGCGCCGCCACGTGTACAGCCCTGACCTGCGGTCGCGAATGGCACCTTGTGTGCAGGATGGTTGCGCTGAACGAGGCGCTGGAAGAGGAGGTGAAGCAGGGCTACGACTCGGTGCTGCGCCGCCTCATGGGTGAGAACACCAGCGGCGATGGAATGCCTTTGCTGATTGTGTGTGTGTGTCTGGTGGTGTGGTGTGGTGTGGTGGTGGTGGTGGTGGTGTGTGTGTGTGTGTGTGTGTGTGTGTGTGTGTGTGTGTGTGTGTGTGTGTGTGTGTGTGTGTGTGTGTGCGTGTGTTTTCTTTCGGGCACGCCACTGCAATCAACCTTCCCTCACGTTCATCATGTGTGTGTGTGCAGTTGCGGACACGGTTCGGCCTCCAAGTGGAATCGACGCTGAGGACGACATCCGCCCAACGCCTCTTGAAGAGTCAGTCCTGCTGCTGCCATGCGTGTCTTGTATTGTGTTTGTCGTGTGTGCGGGTGTGCATGCATGCGTGTTGCTCTAAGAGGCATCCTTCTTCCACCATCTTTCCATCGTCCTTCCACTCACACGCAGCCGACGCGGACTGCAGGGGCAAGGACTTCTCGACGCCGTGGCGGGGCCGGTTTGAGGCGAACATGAGCGCGCTATCCACACACCTGAACATCACACACCCGCTGCTGCTGCGCATGAAGGCGCTGTGGCACACGGCCACGTTTGGCAAGCGGCCCATCTCGTGCACAGAGCTCGCGGCGAAGCAGCGCAGCGAGGTGTGTGTATGTGTGCTGAAACACACTCACTCAAGCATGTGTTGTCTGTTGGGAAGCTGGTTCGCGCCCCTGTGTGTTTTGTGTGTGTATATGTGTGTATATGTGTGTGTGTGTGTGAGTGTGAGTGGGTGTGTGTGCGTTGGAGTGGGTGCTTGTCAATGCTGTGTGGTAATTGCACTCTGGCACCTTGGCTCACCCCACTGTCTTGCTGTTGCTGATGTGGTTGGCGTGATTTGTTCGCATGTCTGCAGGGGTTTCTGTACACGGCCGAGTCTTTTGCGCAGGATATTGTCATGTGCTGCGACAACTTCATCGAGAAGCTCAACATGACGTGCGTTCCTGTGTGTGCGTGCGTGTGTGCGTGTGCTTGCGTGCGCTTGTGGGCGAGTGTGTGTCGCATGTGACCAGCATTACCTCGTTTTTTCTTCGCTGCAGCAGCAGCTCACCCCCCCCCCCCCACCCCTTCTGCACCCCTCCGCTTACATCAGGTGGTACACGGAGATTGTGGATGAGTTTGCGACGTTCCTCGACTCGAATCTGCAGCGGCAGAAGCTGGCAGCCACGGCGACGTCGCAGCTCTCCCTCACGGGGCCGCCGCCACTTGATCAGGCTCAAATCGATCACCTCTACACGTCCTCAGACGCCCTCATGCAGGTGCAGCTCAGCACCTTGCTCCAGGTCAGTTGCCGCTGCCAGTGTGTGTGTTTGTGTGTGTGTGTGTGTGTGCGTGTGTTGTGTGTGTGTGTGCGTGTGTTGTGTGTGTGTGTGTGTGTTTTGTGTGTTGTGTATTTCGTTGTGCACTGTGTTGTGTTGAGTGTGTGTCAACTCTGGTGCTTCGCCATGCAGTGTCTGATGCCTTTGTGATGTTGTTCGACCTCGCCCCCCCCCCCCCATCAACAGGAGATGATGACTGACTTCTCGGTTGAGCTGACGCCGTCTGGGCTGGAAGACATGCCCACATTCATTGTCAAGCTCGTCCTCGCAGACGGAGGGTGCGATTACCCTGCGCACGTGCTTCCCACTCTTTACAACCGCGCGCGAAGAGTTGCACTTGCACCACCACATGTTCTACACTTGCACAATTATCCTTCTGCCTGCTCACTTGGTACATTATGATTTGGTTACTCGTTGGTTGGCGGTGCAGGATGGCAATTGAACCGTCCCTGGAGCAGGTCACGGCCAAGCTGACAGCCACCATTGACAGCATCACAAACAGTTGCCACGAGGTGTGGGCTCCTGTTGCGCACATGCATTACTGTGGTTTTACTCACCATTCTCTCCGTGTCGCCTCCCGCCCCACCCCCTTCGCTTATCATCAGCCATCACCACCTTCCACCGCTCACCTGCCATCACCTGCCACCGCTCACCGCCCACCACACGTCATCTATGCAGATCATCACGATTCGCAGCTGGCTGGCGGGCACTGCGCAGCCGCTGAAGATCACGCTTGACCCGGCCTGTGTCCACGCAGCAAAGCAGCGCCTCACCGCCTTTGCAAAGGTCAGCTCGGGGAGGGGTGCACTTTGTGCACGTTGCATACGTGCGTGTGTGTGCGTACGTGGTCTTTGTGTGTGTGAGTCTGTGTGTGTGTGTGTGTGCGTACGTGGTCTGTGTGTGTGTGTGTGTGTGAGTCTGTGTGTGTGTGTGTGTGGTCACGAGTGCTTGGATGAGGTGTCGCTGTTGTTGGGATCGCATTCAATTAGCCGTCGCAGCGACAACCAACACCACGCATGTAACCACTCAAATGCACACACACACACACACGAACACACGAACACGCTCACACACTACACACCGCGAGCAGGAGCTTGTAGGCCCTGTGCAGGCGACGCTGGCTGAGATGGGGCGGTTTGAGGCACTGCTGCCGTATGGCGAGAAGGAGGAAGAGATTGAGGAGTTCCTTGCCGAGCAGTGGTCCTTTGACGATTTCAAGGACATGCACGCATCCGTCCTCGCCGTAAAGGTGAGCGTCGAAAGTGTGTTGTCGTGGGGGTGTCTTATGCACCCTCTGTATCCTTGCGATTGTGTGTGTGTGTGTGCAACAATGTGTGTGCAACAATGTGTGCAACAATGTGTGTAACACTGGGTGCTCTGCCATGCACCCAATTCCACGCCTCCTCAACATTCAACTCATCCAAACCAATGCATTCGCCCATGCCAGGCTGAGCTGCTTGAGTTCAGCAACCACGTGTCTTGTCCATCTGTCGAGGTGAACCGCACACAGCTCCGCGACGCCCTCATCGCCAGGTATCACACACACACACACACACACATGTACAAAGCTGCGATTCTCAGCTAACAGCACAGTCCTTCCCAATACCCCACTCTCCCTCGCAATCCTCAAATACCTCACAATGTCTCGCAATGCCTCCCCAAACACCCCAAACTTTGCTTGCCTGTTCAGGTGCGAGGAGCTGTCCACGCGTCTGCTGCAAGCGTTGGCTGAGCGCCACGTTGCAGAGTGCCGCGACATTTGCAAGGTGCGCGCGACTGTGGCTTCATGCGTGGCGCTGGTGATGGGGATGAATGCATGGATGGTGTCATTGGTCAGGATCTCACACTGCTTACATGTGCGGCCATATGTGCTTGTGTGTGTGTGTGTGTGTGTGTGTGTGTGTGTGTAGCGGTTTGAGACCATCTCGAAGAAAGCGCTGACGGAGCCCGAAGACAGCAAGGAGATGTTCGCCCTCATGGCCTACATGGACAAGGTGCGACACGCACACACATGTTTACTTGGGAAGAGTCGACATGTTGGTTCTGCGCCCGAGCACCTTTTGTTCAATCGCCAACGATGACTCCGCCTCGCCATCCCCACAACAACAACTCACCATGCACCACCACGTATCATTGCCACGCGTGCGTGCAGGTGCGGGCTGAGGAGCTCGAGGAGCTGAAGACGCGTATCACCATGCGGCAGAAGCGCATGGCGTTCCTGCTCGAGACATACGAGCTCGCCCCAGACCAGGTACAGCAACCGTCAGTGCCCTCCGCACATCACTGTTCTCTTGCTTCGAGTTGTGGCTGTTACCCGTGAACGTGCACCCAACGCTCACACAACTGTGCATTATTTTGTTTTGTTTTGTTTGCTTCCTTGTGTGCAGATGAACCTGAACAGCCAGACGGTGACGTGGCCAACGCGCATCCTGCCTGTGTTCGACGAGAACGCCGTCCTGCTGGAGCGGGTTCGTGTGCTGCTCCCAAATGTGCTGTGGTGTTCACTTCGTGGTGGCTGTGGGCTTGGTAATGCGTGCTGAAGGGCTGCAGCCTGCGCCACATGCGCGCGCACACATAATTTGACACACACAGACACACACACACACATTCTTATTCACACGCTCACACCTACGCACACGCACACACACCAACACATGCGCAGGTGAAGACGCGAACGGAGCAGCAGCTCATGTCGAAGAAGGAGAAAGTGCTGCTTGAGCTTGAGAAGATTCGCAAGCGCCTGGCCGAGCTTGAGGAAGCAAATGACATGAAGGCCATCGGCGCATATGTCAAGGAGGTGCAGTCGCTCCAGCGCAAACTCCACGAGCTCACCTCACAGGTGCGGTGTCCGGCATGAGCACGTGTACGTGGGTGTGAGTTGGGTGTGAACGCGCGCGCGTGAGTGTGTGAACGTGTGTGTGTGTGTACATGGTTGAATGTGTGTGGATTCGGAGTTCCGCGTTGCATCTCACCCGTGGTCCTTCAACCACAAACGCACTCGCGTGCTCCACACGCACACAAATGTACTCATCACATCCATACGACTGTCTGTATGTGCAGGTCACGTTCATCAACAAAGAGGAGCAGCTGTTTGGCTGGGAGCCGAGCCAGTACCCGGCCATTCAAGAACTGCTTTTCGAGTGCGAACCGTTTGACTCCCTCTTCTCCACCACCTTCACCTGGCAGAAGACGCTTCGCCGCTGGCTCGAGGGTGAGCCGCACCCGCTCACCACCACTACCACCACGCTGATGTCGCTCACACACACTGATATCGTTTACTCTGCAAGCTGTTTGTGAAACGTCCAAACACGCAACTACACACGCACAAACACACAAACACACTAACGCACGCGCACACAAATACACAAACACACAACGCACAACACACACACACACACAAATACACAAACACACAACGCACAACACACACACACACACACAAATACATACGCACATCCCCTCTTGTACTCACTGTCGCTTTCGCTGCACCATGACAGGCCCGTTTACGGAGCTTGACCCAGACAAGGTGCTGGAGCAGCTGGACGACTTCTGGCGGCAGTTCTACAAGAAGGCGAAGAGCTATGGCGCAGACACCAACATGTACAAGATCTGCGACAACGTCAAGGTGGAGGTCCAGTCGTTCAAGCAGCACAGCAACCTCATTCAGGTAAGAAGGGCCGTTGTGATGCCGTGGCTGCGGTGCGGTGCTTGCTGGCATTGACACGCAACCGCAAACACAAACACACAGACATGCGCACATACACTTAGCAACACACACTCACACATACACGTGCCACGTCCACCGCCTCTCATATCCACGGCAGGTAATCTGCAACCCCGGGCTGCGAGAGCGCCACTGGACAAAGATGTCGAAGATTGTCGGCAAAAACATCATGCCAGACTCCTCGAGCACGTTGCAGCAGTTCCTGGACATGAACCTGGAGAAACACATGGAGGAGCTTGAGGGCGTGTCTGGTGCAGCTTCGAAGGAGTACTCGCTGGAGAAGGCCATGGACCGCATGCACGCGGAGTGGGAACCAATGGAGTTTGGCCTCACAGAATACAGGTGTGTGGACAATGATGGTGGTGTTTTGGGGTAGGGGTATGTGTATGTGAACATCTGTGTGTGAACACATGTGTATGTGAACATGCGTTTGTGAACGTGTGTGCGTGTGAACACATGTTAACATGAACACATGTATGGTTATTTATGCGAGTGTGAGTGTGTGCGTTTTGGCCTTGTGCCACTGCAACGGCCTTTCCCGCGTGTCCTCACACGCTTGTCGTACCCATGTTCACCTGTGTATGCAGAGACACTGGTGTGCATATCCTGTCGAGTGTGGATGAGATTCAGACCATGCTGGACGACCACCTCGTCAAGACCCAAACCATGCGCAGCTCCCCGTTCATCAAACCGTTCCAGGTGCAGTGTCACCCCAGCTGTTCGTGCTCCTGCCAACATTGTGCGCCTGTATCACCTCTGCAACACGCTCGCACAACGCACTCATCTGCGTGTGCATGCACGCTTCCTTGAACATTGCTCTTCTCTGCACAACATGTGCCTTTGCTCACGTGTGCATGTCCCTCTATCCTGTATGTGCATGTCCTCCCCATCCTGCATGTGCGTGTGTGCGTGCGTGTAGGAGCGCATCACGGCTTGGGAGAAGCTGTTGGTGACGACGCAAGACATCATCGACGGCCTGCTCAAGGTCCAGGCCACGTGGCTCTACCTCGAGCCCATCTTCAGCTCGCCAGACATCATGGCGCAGATGCCCAAGGAGGGGGACCTGTTCACGCAGGTCGACCGCTCCTTCCGGCGCATCATGGGCCACTGCGGCGACGATCCGCACGTGCTCGCCACATGCAGCATTGACGGCCTTCTCGACACCGTCAACAGCGCAAACGACATGCTCGAGCTCATCCTCAAAGGTTCGGCAGCGACGCTCACTTGCACACACGAGCACGTGAAAGTTCCTGCTTGCCACACATGTGTGCGTGTTTGTTTTATGTGTACGCGTGCGTGTTCATGTGCGTGCTTGTGTGTGTGTGTGTGTAGTTTTTTGTTTTTGTTTTTTTGCCGAAACTCCAGCAGCTGCACACGAATCTCACAATCCAACTGCGTGTTGTTTTTGCCCTTCACACCTCTCGCCTTTATTCGCCGCAACAATTAGGACTCAACGAGTATCTGGAGAAGAAGCGCCTGTTCTTTGCTCGCTTCTTCTTCCTCTCCAACGACGAGATGCTGGAGATTTTGTCCGAGACCAAGGACCCAAAGCGCGTGCAGCCGCACCTCAAGAAATGCTTCGAAGGTGCGGTTGATGGCATGATGGGATGTGTGTGTGTTCACGCACATAGGCTCTTTCTTTTTGGTTTTGCTCAACACGGGAGTTGTGTCTGCCCTGCTCTCCACAATCACACACACACACACACTCACTCATATAAAAACGCACACACATAACTTCCCTGCCTCCCCCCCCCCCCTTTGCAGGCATCCGGCGCCTCGTGTTCACTGACGAGCTTGACATCCAGACGATGGTCAGTTCCGAGGGCGAGAACGTGGACCTGACAGAGACCATCTCCACCGCAGCAGCGCGTGGGCAGGTGGAGAAGTGGCTGCTGGAGCTTGAGGGCATGATGCGTCGCTCTGTGCGCGATCAGATTGTCATGGCGCTCGAGGCATACACGCGCACGGAGCGCAAGGAGTGGGTGCAGCAGTGGCCGGGCCAGGTTGTCATCTGCGTCGGCCAGACCTACTGGACCACGGGCGTGCACGAAGCCATCCGCGCGGGCCCAAAGGGGCTTGCCGACTACTGCGACAAGCTTGAGTCTGACCTGCAGGACATTGTTGCGCTGGTGCGCGGCAAGCTGCCCAAGCAGGTGCGTACGACGCTTGGTGCCCTGGTCACGCTCGATGTGCACGCGCGCGATGTGACGATTGACCTCAAGAACAAGGGCGTCACCAGCGACGCCGACTTCCAGTGGCTGTGCCAGCTGCGCTACTACTGGGAGAACGATCAGGTAATGGTCAAGATGATCAACTCCGTATGCGACTACGGCTACGAGTACCTGGGCAACTCGTTCCGCCTCGTCGTCACGCCGCTCACAGATCGCTGCTACCGCACGCTGATTGGCGCATACGCCCTCCATCTTGGCGGTGCACCCGAAGGCCCCGCCGGCACCGGCAAGACTGAGACTGTCAAAGATCTCGCAAAGGCCCTCAGCGTCCAGTGTGTCGTCTTCAAGTACGCCACACGTTTATGTTTGTGTGCATGGTTGTGTGTGTGTGCGTGTGCAAGTTTGTGTGCGACTGTGATTGCATGTTTTTGCACGTCCTGTGTTTGGTCTTCCACGAACACTTGCTCACATTGACCCTCCCTGTCTTTGTGCCGCTGCCCTTGACCCTCAAACACCACTTTTTTCTTCGCAGCGTACGTTTGCTTGCTCCGCTTGAGGAAATGCTCTTGTGCGTGTGTGTATGTGTGTGCGTGTCTTTGCGCTTGTATGTTTAGGTGTGCTCAGATATGACTTTGGGATTGCTCGCATCAGCTGTCGAGCTCTCTCTCTCATGCACACACAACTCTGTTTACTGCCCATTCGCTCCTCACATCCCAACCACCATCATCCGACCGGCATCCTCCACACCGCTTCCGTTCTACCATCCCTTAGTGTAAGTCCACACTCTTCTGTCAAACGTCATTGACTTGCCATTGCTGCTGTTGCTGCTGCTGTTGTTGTTGTTGTTGTTGTTGTTGTTGTTGTTGTTGTTGTTGTTGTTGTTGATGATGATGATGATGATGATGTTGTTGTTGTTGTTGTTGTTGTTGTTGTTGTTGTTGTTGTTGTTGTTGTTGTTGTTGTTGTTGTTGTTGTTGTTGTTGTTGTTGTTGTTGCTGTTGCTGTTGTTGTTGTTGTTGTTGTCGTTTCTGCTGCTACTGCTGGTGGTGGTGGTGTTGTTGTATCTTGCCTGAATGTGTCACCTCATGCCTTTCTCTCACACACATGAATCACCGTCTTACCCCTTCCCCCCCCCCCCAAACCACAATCACCATCACCTCCACCAGGCTCCGATGGTCTTGACTACAAGGCGATGGGCAAGTTCTTCAAGGGCCTTGCCTCTGCCGGCGCGTGGGCGTGCTTTGACGAGTTCAACCGCATCGACCTCGAGGTGCTCTCTGTCGTTGCACAGCAGATTCTGCAGATCCAGCGCGCCGTGGAGACGGGCATGGAGCGGTTTATGTTTGAGGGCACGCAGCTGAGCCTCAACCCCAAGTGCAACTCATACATCACCATGAACCCCGGTTACGCCGGCCGTTCCGAGCTGCCAGACAACCTCAAGGTGCTCTTCCGCACCGTGGCCATGATGGTGCCAGACTACGCCATGATCGCTGAGATTATGCTCTACTCGTTTGGCTTTGTCAACGCGCGGCCCATGAGTGTGAAGATCACCACCACATACAAGCTGTGCTCGGAGCAGCTGTCGTCGCAGTTCCACTACGATTACGGCATGCGCGCCGTCAAGGCTGTGCTGTCCGCTGCCGGCAACCTCAAGCTTGCGTACCCGGAGGAAGACGAAGGCATTCTGATCCTGCGTGCCATCGTAGACGTCAACCTGCCCAAGTTCCTCTCGCATGACATCCCGCTCTTCAACGGTATCATCTCCGACCTCTTCCCCGGTGTTGAGCTGCCAAAGCCAGACTACTCTGAGCTGTTCAGCACGGCGCGCGCCGTGTGCAAAGAGCGTGATCTGCAGGCCACAGACACCTTCCTGGAAAAGCTTGCACAGATGTACGAGATGATGATTGTTCGTCACGGGTTTATGCTCGTCGGCGAACCTTTTGCCGCCAAGACCACCGTCCTCAAGGTGCGCAACCAGCATTGTGTGTGTGGGGGAGGGGGTGTTTGTGTGTTTGTGCGTGTGCACATCTGTGAATGTACACACATACACACACACTGTGCGTGCGTGTTTGTGCCAACTTGTCATCTATTGATTGCGTTTTCGCGTAGCGTGGTATTTTATTTATTTTTTGTGTGTGTGTGTGTGTGTGTCCTTTACGTGCGCCATTCACTGCTGATCACTCACCTCAATCCATTTCAACACGTGCACCCGGCGTTGCTTCGCAGGTACTGGCGCGGTCGCTGTCGCTGCTGGCGGAGGCGCATGCCGGCGAGATGCAGGACGACGACGAGCCCTTGTACCGCGGTGGGTTGCCCCTTCCACTGCTTGAATGGAAATCGGGGACGCGTGTGGTGGTGCTGTGGGACCTGTGAAAGCCGTTGGGCTCGTGCGCTCTTGCTTTGCTTGGGTGTAGTGTATGCTTTGCTGTGGGATTTGCACAATTTCACGCCTGCTCACGACGTGTTGCCACGTGCGTTTGCAGGTGTGGAGTATCGAATCATCAACCCCAAGTCCATCACGCTGAGCCAGCTGTACGGCAGCTTCGACCCCGTCTCTCACGAGTGGTCAGACGGCGTGCTTGCCACATCCTTCCGCATGCTCGCAAGCGACCCAAGCCCAACAAGGTGGGTGTGTATGTGTATGATGTTTGGTGTTTTGTGGTTTTATGTTTGTATTTGTTTGTATCTGTTTGCAAATCAAGGGCACACTTTCCTGTGTTCGGTACCCTTGTTGTCGTCATCCCCTGAACGCATCCTTCGTTCCTTTATTCCTCCTCCATTTCCACCCAAACTCAACTTCCCCTCACGTCACACCACCGACTCACTCCACCTGTGTGTGTGTGTGTGAGAAGGAAGTGGACGGTGTTTGATGGCCCCGTTGATGCCGTGTGGATTGAGAACATGAACACCGTGCTCGACGACAACAAGAAGCTGTGCCTCATGTCTGGTGAGATTATCGGGCTCTCCGACACCATGTCCATGATCTTCGAGACAATGGACCTGTCCCAGGCATCGCCAGCCACCGTGTCCCGTTGCGGTATGATCTACCTTGAGCCGTCACAGCTGGGCTGGCGCCCACATGCGGACTCGTGGCTGCAGACGCGACCGGAGTACATCTCTCAGGCGCTCAGGGATCTGCTGAGCCAGCTCCTGGACACGTTTGTGCCGGCTGGTGTGGAGTTTGTGCGCAAGCATCTGCGGCAGTATGTTGAGGTTGCGGACATTATGTTTGTGCACTCGCTCTTCCGCCTTCTCGACAGCTCCATGCAGTCCGAGTTCGAGAATGAGAGCAACGTCAAGGTGTGTGGTGTTTGTGTAGCGTGTGCATGTGTGCGTTTGTATTCGTGTTTGTGTGTGTGTGTGTGTATGGTCGTGTTTGTATTGGTGCTCGTGCGTGTATGTGCATGTGTGTGTGTGAGAGAGAGTTTGCGTGCGCACGCGAGCTACTTGTCCTTGCTTCTTCGCCTTCCTGCGCATGCAGTCACACTGTGTCAACCACCATCCCTGTCATTGTCACACCAGATCCTGGAAGGGTGGGTGAAGGGCGTGTTTCTATTCAGCTTCATCTGGTCGTTCGGTGCCAGCACAGACAACACGGGCCGCCCCAAGTTTGACCAGTTCCTCCGCGAGCTCTACTCCAACCAGGTGTGTGTGTGTGTAAGTGTGTGGTTGTGTGCGACGCCATTGTGCATTGATGGAATTCTCATCCATGTGACCCACATGTCTCTGTCTCCTCTTGCACAACATTCACGTGCATACGCTTCCCTCTCCCCCTGAAACACACACAGAACGAGGAGTACCCGTGCCCGGTCAAGTTTGATGTGACGCTGCCGGAGGAAGGGCTGGTGTACGACTACCTGTTTGAGCTCAAGGGCAAGGGCAAGTGGATGAAGTGGACTGCAACTGCCCCAACAGACCTGAAACTTCGCACGGGCCAACAGCTCAAGGATGCGATTGTGCCGACGATGGACACCATCCGGTACAAGTACCTCATGGACATCAGCATCAAGAACAAGGTGCCGCTGCTGTTCGTCGGGCCCACGGGCACGGGCAAGTCCGTGTACATCAAGGAGAAGATCATGCAGGAGCTGGACAAGGACACGTTCGTGCCGCTCTTCCTGACCTTCTCTGCGCGAACCACGTCGACGCAGACACAAAACTTCATCATGTCGAAGCTCGACAAGCGGCGCAAGGGTGTGTTTGGCCCGCGCATGGGCAAGCAGTGCATTGCGTTTGTGGATGACCTGAACATGCCCGCCGTCGAGGTGTACGGTGCACAGCCGCCCATTGAGCTGCTGCGCCAATTCCTTGACCACGGCTTCTGGTACGACCTCAAGGACACCACCAAGATGAAACTTCAGGACGTGCAGGTGAGCCGGCGTCGTCGTCGTCGTCGTCGTCGTGGTGGTGGTGGTGGTGGTGACGCTCTTCTTCTTGTTCTCGTTATATTTTGTTCTTCTCGTTCAATGTTGTTCTTGTTCGTGTTCTTGTTCTTGTTCTTGTTCTTGTTCCTGTTCTTGTTCTTGTTCCTGTTCTTGTTGTTGTGGAGTTGGCTATCTTCACGAGTATGCCACCACATTTCAGCTCACAGTTGCACACCATCTCTGCGCACACGCGTTCAGTTCATCTCTGCGATGGGTCCACCTGGCGGCGGCCGCAACCACATCACAACTCGCATGCTTCGCCACGTCAACCTCGGTACGGCCACACGCTCAGATGCACAAAACAAAAACCTTCGAGTGTCTGCCTGCCTGCCTGCCTGTCTTGCCTATTCGTTCCCACTTCAAGGTTCTAACCTCGCCCCCCCCCCTCCCCTGGGGCCGGTTGTTGTCTTCAACCACCAGTGTCCATCACGGAGTTTGATGACGAGACGATGACGCGCATCTTCTCCACCATCCTGACAAAGGCTTTCAAAGACGGCCACTTCTCCATGGAGCTGCAGGTGACGTGTTTGTGTTTGCATATGCGCGATGAGGGAAGGCGGATCGCTTGCTCGCCCGTTGCCCTTGACCACCACCACCACCCCTCCCCAAGCGTACGTGCTCACATACAACCTCCCCCACGCCATTCAACAACAATGAACGATATCATGCTAGGCCTTTACGAAGAACCTGGTGTCGGCCACGCTGCACGTGTACAAGAGCGCCATTGCATCGCTGCTGCCCACCCCGGCCAAGTCGCACTACACATTCAACCTCCGCGATTTCGCGCGCGTTGTGAACGGCATCGTCCTCATGAAAGGTGCAGTGTTGTCGACTCACACACACGCACACCCCCCCCCCCCTCTTGCTGCATACTTGCTGACGCTCGAAATGCCGAGGCAAGGCGGCTGCATGCTCATGCACGCACTCCACAATCCATGACTCACACTCAACTCACACACGCACGCACGCACGCACGCACGCACGCACACTGACACGCCCATGTACGCATGATTCAACTCCCGCCAGGCTCGCATGCTGGCGACAAGAACAAGATGTGCCGGCTGTGGACGCACGAGGTGCTGCGCGTGTTTGGCGATCGCCTTGTTGATGACAACGACCGTCAATGGCTCTTCTCGCTCGTGCAAGACACCGTCAAGTCGGAGTTCAAGCTGTCCTTTGACGGCGTGTTTGAGCAACTCAAGCCCGAGCGCGGCAAGATGGACTTTCACGACTTTGGCAAGCTCATGTTTGGAGACTTTGCGGACCTCGATTCCAACGACCGCATCTATGATGAGCTGCAGGATCTGGACGCGTTGACAGACGTGCGTGAAATTCAGAGGCGCATGGTTGTGTGACCTGTCTCAACGCACGCGGGTGTTTCCGACTTAACATCCTGTCACATTCACACGCCTCGCATTGCGTACTCACTCAATACTCACTCACCGACTATCCATACCACACACACACACACACACACACACACACACACACACACACACACACACACACACCTACATGCACTCACTGACATGCACCACCCACACGCCACACAGACGGTGAAGAGTGCGCTGGAGGAGTACAACAACATCAACAAGACACCGATGGATTTGATCATCTTCCGCTATGTCCTTGAGCACCTGTGCCGCATCAGCCGCGTGCTGAAGCAAGCTGGCGGCCATGCCTTGCTCGTGGGTGTTGGCGGGTCGGGCCGGCAGAGCGTCACGCGTCTCGCCGCGCACATTGCCGACTACGCCGTGTTCCAGCCCGAGATTACGAAGCAGTATGGTGACGAGGAGTGGATGGACGACATCAAGCGCCTGATGAGGAAGGCCGGCATGGAGGACAAGCCAACCGTGTTCCTGCTCTCCGACTCACAGATCAAGCAAGAGAGCATGCTTGAGGACGTGGATGCGCTGCTGAACAGCGGCGAAGTCGCCAACATCTTCCCGCCCGACGAGAAGGGCGAAATCTGCGAGGCCGTTCGGCCGAGTGCGCAGGAGCTTGACCCCTCTGCCGAGCTCACCCCGGTTGACCTGTACGCCTACTTTATCAGCCGCTGCCGTGACAACCTACACATTGTGCTGGCCTTCTCGCCCATCGGCTCGTCATTCCGCAACCGCCTGCGCATGTTCCCCTCGCTGGTCAACTGCTGCACCATTGACTGGTTCCAACCGTGGCCTGCGGAGGCCCTGCAGCTGGTGGCGGAAACATTCGTGGCCGATATCGAGATGTCGGATGAGGACAAGGCAGCCGTCGTCAACCTCTGCCAGTACTTTGACATCTCAAGGTGAGGGCTTTGTGTGAGTGTGAGTGTGTGTGTGTGTGTGTGTGTGTGTTGGCGTGTTTCTGTCTTCTGAGACACGTGACTGCTCACCTGCTGCGCACGACGACACAATTCACATGTTCCCTCACCACCACCACCACCACCACCGCACATGTACACAGTCGATCGCTGTCCCAGCGGTTCTTGAACGACCTGCACCGACACACGTACATCACGCCAACCTCCTTCCTTGAGCTCGTCAAGGCCTTCAAGTCCCTGCTCGGCAAGAAGCGAGACGAGATCATGAAGGTTTGCATACACGCACACGCATACGCACACGCGCACACAATTGCACATACACGCACGCATATGCACATTCACACGCACACACGTTCACACACAAACAGGCATATGCACACCACGCTTATTCGCTCTACACTTATTCGCTCTATGCTTCGTATTGTGGCCACATTCATACGCCTGCATTGCGCACATGCCACACATCCCAATACGGCCTGCCACACGCTCACATGTATTTTCCATGCCCTATGCTGTGCAGGTGAAGAACCAGTACACGACTGGCCTTGACAAGCTTGAGTTTGCTGCGAGCCAGGTAGCCACCATGCGACAGGAGCTTGAGGACCTGCAGCCCAAACTCGCGCAGGCGCAGGTGGACAACGCCAACATGATGGAGCAGATCAACAAGGAGTCTGAAGAGGCAGCGGCCATCGAGGTGCGCATGGTGCAGTGCTCCTGTGTTGCATGTGTATGTGTGTGCGTGTTTGCGTGTTGGCGTGAGCAGAACGAACTGATCCTTGTCGTGTCAGCGTGAAACGGTGTACGTCTTCTCATTCCTGTACCAAACCCTCACACATGCGCGCACTGCACCACACACACAGGTGAACGTCAAGAAGGACGAGGCGTTTGTGGCCGAGAAGACGGCAATTGCGCAGAAGGAAAAGAACGAGTGCGAGGAGCTGCTTGCAGAGGCCGTGCCGGCGCTTGAGGCGGCACTGGAGGCCCTCAACACGCTGAAGAAGCCCGACATTGACGTGATCAAGACCATGAAATCGCCGCCGGCTGGTGTGAAGCTGGTCATGGAGGCCGTGTGCGTCATGAAGGACGTCAAGCCAGAGAAGATCACAGACAGCGCCGGCAAGAAGGTGAGCTGCGCGTGTCTTGGCAATCGTGTGTGAACTTCGTTTTATCGGATTGAAATGGCACGTGCACTGCCCTCTGACACTTACACGTTCTTCAATTCATCTCGCGCGCGCACACATCCTCTGTTTCACCAACTGCTCGCCCGCTCACTTTTTCCCTCTGGTTTTGTTTTGCTTGTCTCTGTGGATGTCTCCTGAATGTGAATGTCTCTCTGTATGCGTGTGTGTGCGTGTTCTTCGTCTCCCTTTGCCTCTCTGTGTGTGCAGCAACTTGACTACTGGGGCCCAGCGAAGAAGATGATTGGCGACATGAAGTTCCTGCAGTCGCTCAAGGACTACGACAAGGACAACATCCCGCCCAAGACCATGGCCATCATTCGCGACAAGTACATCCCCAACGAGAACTTTGTGCCGGAGAAGGTGGCCAAAGCCTCCAGCGCTGCGGAGGGCCTGTGCAAGTGGATTCGCGCCATGGAGGTTTACGACCGCGTGGCCAAGGTCGTGGCGCCGAAGCGAGAGGCCCTCAAGCAGAAGGAGGCGGAGGTGGGTGAGCTCTCTGCTGTGCTGAAGCAAAAACGCGACGAGCTCAAAGCCGTGCAAGACCGTGTTGCGAACCTCAACAAGCAGCTGGAGGAGAAGGTGCAGGAGAAGCAGGACTTGGAGGCAAAGGTTGACCTCTGTGCAATGAAACTCGACAGGGCACAGAAGCTCATCGGAGGTGCGCTTGCTGCTTGCTCTGTGTGTGTGTGTGTGTGTCTGTGTGTGTGTCTGTGTGTGTGTCTGTGTGTGTCTGTGTATTTGTGGTTCTCTTCGCCGATCCCCTGCCTATGTTTGTGTTTTGTTTTCCCCCGCCTCTCAAGGGTGACCGACAAGCGCCACGATTAGCCCTCACCCTCACACACGCAATACCCCCTCACACACGCAACACCCCCTCACACACGCGCGTGCACGTACAACCAGGTCTTGGCGGTGAGAAGAAGCGGTGGAGCGAGGCAGCAGAGTCGCTGCAGGCGGCTTACGACAACCTCACGGGCGACATTCTCGTGTCGTCTGGCGTCATTGCATATCTTGGCCCGTACACATCCGTGTACCGCCAAGAGACGGTGATCGAGTGGGTCAAGGAGTGCCGCGCGCAGAAGCTCACTTGCAGTGACAACTTCAGCCTCAGCACCACCCTAGGCAACCCAGTCAAGATAAGGTGCGTGTGTGCGTATGTGTGTGCGTTTGCGTATGTGCGCGCGCTTGTGTGTTCAGCTTGTACTTTGTTTTTGTTTTTTGTTTTTTGTTTGTTTGTTTTTTGTTTTTGTGTTTTGTGCGTGTGTGTGTGTGTGTGTGTGCAGCTTGTACTCTTTGTTCTGTGTGTTTGCGTTTCACGGTGTTATGCTGGTGCAAGCTCACCGACCACCTCCACGCTGCAGGTCGTGGAACATTGACGGGCTGCCCACTGACGGCTTCTCTGTCGACAACGGCGTGATGCTGGAGAATTCACGGCGGTGGCCACTCATGATTGACCCGCAGGTGAGTGCGCGGTGGTGGGGGTTGATGGGCAATGGAAGGACTGGAGATTCGATGAGAGGGGGACGCACGCACTGGCTCACCCGTACGCACATGCACCCAATCCGTTATGCACACACACACATATGGATGCGCGTTATCCTCTCTCACCTTTCGCTCGCCTCTCGCTCCCGCCTCCACCACATGGAAACAGGGCCAAGCAAACAAGTGGATCAAGAACATGGAGAAGGACAACAACTTGTCTGCCATCAAGCTGACAGATGGGACGTTCATGCGCACCCTTGAGAACGCCATCCAGTTTGGCACGCCAGTCCTGCTGGAAAATGTTGGCGAGGAGCTTGACCCTGCGCTCGAGCCGCTACTCCAGAAGTCCACCTTCAAGCAGGGCGGTGTTGTGTGCATCAAGCTCGGTACGTCATCGCGCTGCCCTTGCCTCGCTGTGTGTGTGTGTCTGTGTGTGTCTGTGTGTGTGTGTGTGTGTGTGTCTGTGTGTGTCTGTGTGTGTCTGTGTGTCTGTGTGTGTGTGTCTGTATGTGTCTGTGTGTGTCTGTGTGTGTCTGTGTGTCTGTGTGTGTCTGTGTGTCTGTGTGCGAGCATTGAGCGTTTCGTTCATTTACATTCATTCAGTTGCGGGTACATCTGCCTTCGCCTACACATGTCCGAGTTTGTGTGTTCCGTGCTCATTCACGTCTTGACCTCGCTCATTCTGCTTGGATACCTTCCCACCCTCCTCCACGAAACCAAAACTCTTCGCCAGGCGAGAACGTGCTTGAGTACTCGCAGGACTTCCGCTTCTACATCACGACCAAGCTGCCCAACCCGCACTACCTGCCCGAGACAGCGACGAAGGTCACGCTCATCAACTTCATGATCACGCTCGAGGGCCTCGAAGACCAGCTGCTCGGTTCGTAGTCACGCGCGCTGTTTTGTTCTCGTGTCGCCTTTTTTTTTTTTTTTTTCGTGTTGGCTGACACGACACGACGGGCTTTTGCTTACAACTGCTGCAATGTAGTCTCAATGTTGAGCATATGTTGTGCATGTTCACGCTGCCTCCCTTTGCAACTCTTTCTTGACCACCGCGTGTCACTCATGAACACGCCCTCTTCCTCGCCTGTTGTTACTGTTTTCTTGTGTGTGTCAGGTCTGGTTGTTGCAAAGGAGCAGCCGGCACTGGAGGAGGAGCGGCAAAAGTTGATTGTCGTCTCTGCAGAGAACCAGCGCCAATTGAAGGAAATTGAGGCCAGGATCCTTGAAACGCTCTCATCATCCGAGGGCAACATTTTGGAGGATGAAGACGCCATCAAAGTGCTTGATGACGCAAAGATTCTCTCAGACCAGATCCAGGAGAAGCAGCGGGTACGCATGTGTGTGTGTGTGTGTGTGTGTGTGTGTGTGTGTGTGTGTGTGTGTGTGTGTGTGTGTGTGGTTTGGGGTTTGCGCGTACTGCTTGACTCCGTTCTGCCGTGTCAGTCCGCCCTTCAGCCCGTGCTTACAACCATCACAATCGACAAACTGTGTTGTCCACCTTTCAATTTTGCCTGCAGGCTGCTGAGGCGACGCAGAAGAAGATCAGCGAGAACCGGCGTGGGTACAAGCCCGTCGCCTCCCACTCTGCCGTTCTCTTCTTCGTCATTGCCGACTTGGCAAACATTGACCCCATGTACCAGTACTCGCTCACTTGGTTTGTCAACCTCTACCTCGCCTCCATCGCTCAGAGCACCAAGAGCAAACAGGTGTGTGTGTGTGTGTGTGCGTGCGTGCGTGCGTGCGTGCGTGTGTGTGTGTGTGTGTGCGTGCGTGCGTGCGTGCGTGTGTGTGTGTGTGTGTGTGTGTGTGTGTGTGTGTGTGTGTGTGTGTGTGTGTGTGTGTGTGTGTGTGATTACACATGTGTGGGTGCCTTGTCCCTTCTGTTCCTGGCAGGATTCGTGCGCGTGCGAAGCAACTGTTGCGCCACTTGCCCATGCACATGCATACACCCTGGTTCCACTCACTGACGAACGTGTGCGTTCATCTTGCCAACGGGCACACGCCGACCCATGTCACTGCCATCAGCTGGAAAAGCGGTTGCGGTATTTGACGGACCACTTCACGTACAACCTCTACTGCAACGTCTGCCGCTCGCTGTTTGAGAAGGACAAGCTTCTGTTTGCCTTCCTCCTCTGCACGTCCCTCCTCAAGTCAAGGTGCGCGCTGAAAAGCGAAGACAAGAGCTGTGTTTCGCGTGTTTGTGTGGTTTGGTGTAACTTACGGTGTCCTGTGGATATCATCTGGTATTTGCATCAATCTGCCTGATTCAATTGCTCCACCGGTTTGCACGCGCACTGTTCTGTGCACACGCACACGCAAACATGCACACACTCACGACCAAGCTCACGCTCACACATGCATGTGCTCATCACACCTGTTAGGTCTCAGCTTGAGCAAACGGAGCTGATGTTCTTCCTGACGGGCGGTGTTGGGCTGGACAACAAGCGGCCCAAGCCGGATCAGCCCTGGATCCAACAGAAGATGTGGGACGAGCTGTGCAGGATGTCAGACCTCCCCGCCTTCAAGAAGCTTGGCTTCCTCGAGGTCTGTTATTGTGTGCGTATGTGTGTGCGTATGTGTGTATGTGTGTGTGTGCGTGTTTGTGTGTGTGTGTGTCTGTCTGTCTGTGTCTGTTTCTTGTGCCTGTGTCTGTGTTTGTGTTTGTGCGTGCGTATGTGTGTATGTGTATGTGTGTGTGTGCGTGTTTGTGTCCGTGTGTGTGTGTGTGTCTGTCTGTGTCTGTTTCTTGTGCCTGTGCCTGTGTCTGTGTCTGTGTTTGTGTTTGTGCGTGCGTGTGTATGTGTGCATGTTTGTGTGTGTTTGTCGATTGAGATCGGCCTTGTTGGGCGTGACGTCAGTGTTGCGTTCGTACCCGTGACTTTCGTTCTGGGCAATGTTGCTTGCTGCAAGCTTTTTTGCCTGAGTCCTCTCGCGGCTGGTCCTCTGTCCTCCTTTGCTTCCACTGGCTGGTCCTCCCATGCGCAACCCCAGAACTTACACAACACACTCCTCCCAATTGCAATCAATACCCCGCCCCCTCTACTGTATCCTTGCAGAAATTTGAGCAAGACCCGGGCCAGTGGCAGTACATCTACGACAGCAAGCTGCCGCACACGGAGGAGCTGCCTGCGCCATGGCAGGGCGACCTCAGCGAGTTCCAGCGCATGATCCTCGTGCGTGTGCTGCGCCCGGACAAGGCTGTGCCGCTCGCTCGCCGCTTCGTGGACGCCAAGCTTGGGCAGAAGTTCACAGAGCCGCCGCCGTTTGACCTTGGCAAGTCGTACAATGACTCCATCTGCACACAGCCGCTCATCTTCGTCCTCTCCCCAGGCGCTGATCCCATGGCCTCCCTCCTCAAATTTGCAGAGGTGTGTGTGTGTGTGTGTGTGTGTGTGTGTGTGTGTGTGTGTGTGTGTGTGTGTGTGTGTGTGGTTGCGGAGGTGGGTGACGTCGTTGTGCGCCGTTGTGTGCTGTTGTGTGCGTGGTTTTCCGTGATGCTGCTTATTTCAACGTGCATGTTGTTGTTGTGTCGCCAGGCGT